ACGTTACAGATATAGAAAAGTGCTGTGTATTATACCTAGCCTTATTCAAATTTGATTTAAGAGTTGTATTTTACGAAAATGTTTAATTGCGGTATGTTGGTTTGATTATAATTACAAAAAAAACTTTTTTCTATCCACCATTCTTAAAGTAATAATATTTTACACGCTACAGAGTTCGTAAAACTTTACTTCACGCACTAGTGCGTAAAGAGTTTTTATTTACACACTGAGTTCCTAAAGAAAATTGTCAAATTTGAGTGCATTGACCACAGAACAACACGTTTTAGTATTGACAGTTCTTATAAAAATAATAATGAGTATATTAAATATTTAATTTTTTTGAATTTAATCATATATTTTTATAGTTATTTCAATCCAGTTTAAATATTATATTAATAAAAATTATTGTGAAATCTTATTACCTGTTGACGAAAATTATTTAAGTTCCTGACGATCCAGCTAAGTTGGCTAAGGACGACTGACACTTCTTTATTTAATTTGACATTTTTACTTTAAAAATCAAGAACAATATATCAATATTCAAAAATAATATAAATTCGTTGCTTTATTTTTTTTGGTTTAATCATACATCAAAACTTATTTGAATTCAGCAAATACCTATTAGTGAATATATTAAATTAAATAATAATAAAAGATACAAAAATTGTAATTAAAGATTTCTTACAATCTTGCTAAGTTGGCTGTGATTGACTGGCATTTAGTACGTGTAGTGAGATATTTCTTAAATTTTTTTATTCTATTCGACATTTAAACTGAAATAAGGTAAGTAAAAATATATCTATTTAATATTTAGGTAATTATTATGATACTACTGTAGATATTTTCTTTAGAAAACAAAACAGGCATCTATACAAACTTCATTTTAACAATAGAATCATCTAATTCTGATGATTATTTCGAAAATACTCTACTGAATAGGTATATTGGGTGCAGCACAGAATTCTTCGAAAGATTTATTGCCCCAAAAATCAGCCAACATTTATGAGTCGAAATATAATATCTTTATGGAATGGTGTAAAAGAAATAAAATTACCAAATATTCGGAGAATGTCCTGGAGGCATATTTTTCAAGTGAATTAAAACACTATAATCCATCCACCACATGGTCGATATTTTCTATGTTAAAAACATCTTTAAGAATCAAAAACAATATTGACATATCAAAATATTATAAATTAGTTAGTTTTATAAAAAACAGGAGTAAGGATACAAAGCTAAAAATCAAACATTTTCGGAAAAGATCACTTAATAACTTTTCTCAAAAACGATCCTGATTTAACTTTTCTACTGATTAAAGTAAGCATAACTTACAATAATTATTATAAGTATATTTAAATTATAAAGTATTTATATAATATAATAAAAACTGGTAGTGTTGTAATTTAGCACTCATTTGTGTGAAAAATTACAAATATAAATAATATAACAAAGAGTTATAGTGGCGCAGTGGTAAAATACTTGTCTCCGGTGACGACGATCCCGGGTTCAAATCCGCGCCAAAGAAACTTTTTTTTCTGCTGAAGTAAGTAATAAAGTCATCAGTCATTACATCAATATTGTTTTTTTCCAGGTGGTATTTATAATTGGCATTTCCGGCGCATGCCGAAGAGACGAATTGACAAATTTAAAATATGATGATATCGAAGACAAAGAAACAGTACTTATTATCAGAATTACTAAAACTAAAAATGGGACGGAAAGAATTTTTACTCTTTTAAATCCCACCAATTCAAAAATTGATTATTTATCTTACATTAAAAAAATATATTATTGCCTTAAGACCCCAAAGATTTCGCCAATATTACAAAACCTATGACTATTTGTTTGAAAAAGAATGCGAAAGTAATTCACAATCAAAATTTTATTGAATGTTTTAACACTTGTAAGAAAATTTTATGTAATAGTCCGATTCTTCAGTATCCTGACTTTTCAAAATCTTTTATACTAACCACCGACGCATCAGACGTTGCCCTCGGTGCAGTATTATCTCAAGGTATCGTAGGTCAGGATAAACCAGTGGCGTACGCGTCACGAACTCTTAACGAAACGGAACAGAGGTACAGCACAATAGAGAAAGAACTTCTGGCAATTGTGTGGGCCTGTAAGTATTTCCGTGCATATCTTTTTGGGAAAACCTTTATTATTCAAACTGATCATCGCCCGTTAGTCTGGCTATTCAATTTGAAAGAACCCAATTCAAAATTAATAAGATGGCGCCTCAAATTGGAGGAGTATGATTACAAAATAGTTTACAAAAAAGGCAAACTAAACAGTAATGCAGATGCTTTAAGTAGAATTAAATTAAATGCTCTTGAAACTGAATCTACAGATAATAACCCAGGTCATATAAATATAGAAAGCTTAGAAATTTTAAAAAATATAGCCGAAAACCCCAATAATTACATTTCTGATAAAGATTTCGAAGAAGCTGGCCCTAGTTATAAACAAAAAAATAAATCAAAAATAAAAATAATCTCAGATATTCAAATACAACCTCCAAATAAATCTGATTCTGATGAGACTCCACATTCACTTTCGAAAGAAGTCGAAAATGATGGCATTCTCATATTAGACGAAATAATTAACAATAAAAATAATCAAATCTTAGTTTTTAAACACAATAATGAACAAATAGTTGTTAAAACCGGAAATTATAATAAACAAAAAATTATAAACTTAAAATTACCATTAGAAAATAATCGGAAACAAATAATAGATTTTCTAAAAAATTATTTAGGTCCTAATAAAACCTATCATATAAATTTTGATGATAGAAAATTTGTACCTCAATTCAATGAAATATATACAGAAATATTTAAAAAGGATATTTTAAAATTAGTCATGTGTACACGTTTAGTAAATACTATTAAAGATATCGAGGAACAAATAATGTTAATAAAAAATCATCATGAAGGGAAATACTAATCACCGAGGTATTGAGGAAACATTAAATTATTTAAAGCGAAATTATTATTGGACAAATATGCAAAAAACAATCACTTCATATATTAATTCTTGTGACATCTGTCAGCGAACTAAATATGCTCGAAAAAATCCCTATGTACCACTAAATTTAACTGAAACACCCTTAAAACCATTTGAAATATTACATATAGACATTTTCCACTATAATAAAAAGATTTACGTAACAATAATTGATCCTTTTTCAAAATTTGCTCAGTCTATCCCTATTCCCGGAAAAACAGCAATAAACATTTGTGACGGTTTAACAAAATATTTTGCAAGTTTCGGTATACCTAAAACAATTGTCCTAGACAGTGGTACAGAGTTTAAAAATGATACAGTTCGTGAACTTCTAAATTTACATAAAATAAAAACACATTTTACCACACCCGGTCACCATGAGTCGAATGGAATTATTGAACGATTCCATTCAACGTTGATCGAACATTTACGAATCCTAAAAGAGTTGTACCCTAATGACGATGACTTAATTAATTATGCCATTCTTGGATATAATAGCTCAATACACAGTGCGACTGGTTTCACACCTTTCGAACTTGTATTCGGACATACAAATTCCAGAAATCCTGAAGAAATTTTTATGCCTAAAGTGCATCAAACAGCCAGTAGGCATAAATAAATTTGGCAAAATGCCATCTATTATAGCAAATTATCTTCAATTGCCTAATCCAACTATGTATACTGGACATTGTTTTAGGAGGTCATCAGCAACAATGTTGGCAAATTCTGGAGGTGACCTTCTAACAGTTAAAAAAACATGGGGCTGGAAGTCGTCTACCGTCGCAGAGGGCTACGTAGATTATACTTTAAGCAAAAGAAATAATGTATCTAATTTAATATTAATGGATGATAATATCCCTTGCACATCACAAAATATTTCTAATGCGAATGTAATAGAAGATAACTCCCTTTCTATTTCCACGCAAGTTAGCAACGTTATTGGCAATTCTTCGTGTTATGAAGTAACTAACCTTAGCTATAATAATTTAAATAACTTAATACCTAATGTTAATGTTATTAGCAATGCTACGTTATCAGTTTCTGAAACCACAGTAAACTCTAGCATGGAGCAAGCTAAAGGATTAAGTTTTAACAAGTGCACAAACTGCACTTTTCACATTAATATTGTTAATAATTAAATAACTTATATTCAATTCCATATTAATCTAGTTAATTCGTTTTATTATTAATAACTAAATAATAACATTTAAGTCTTAAGTTAATCTAGTTCATCTGTTTTAATTTGGTGAAAATATGTATATTAAATTAGTTTAATTATATTTTATTACAAACCAAAGTGTTATAATTAGAACGAAAAATTAAACCTTCTTTACACACTAGTGCGTAAAGAAATAATATACTTTACGCACTAATGCGTGAAGAAAATGAATATAAAACCTTCATTTTTAATAAAACTTACGGTAATAGAAAAAATATTGCATGCAATTCGTGTTTAAAGTCCCTTTTTTGACTCATGTGATTGTCATTATTCACATTACTCAAAAAAGGGTTACTTTACACACTTGTTGCATAAATAACTATTTTACAGATTTTTTAACATCCCTAAAGTATTTCTTCTCTGTCTTCTTCTACTTTAAGGTCGTTATTAAAGTATTACTTTCTGGCCGCATTTATTTTGTAACCACTTTTTATAATCACAAGTAGTTATCATTTTTATTGTTAGTAATTCTGGACAAATTATAACAATTGGTTTTTATTTGATCAATACAAATTTTAAAACTATTCTTGTATTTAAGTCTCTGATCAGTAACAATGTAAAAAAAATTTTGCATATACTTCATGAGATTTTTTTTTGGCCTAACCAAAATTTGCTTGGCCTCGGCCGCAAATTTCTGACTCGGCAAAAAAGATCATCTTTACGGCTTTGGTACACAAATACATAACTTTTTTAAAAAAATGTACTATTTATTCTTCTCAAACATTATTATTTAAACAGAATAATATCTATTAAACAATAAAATAAGAATTCTCACCTGTTCACTTTTAGATTGAACACATTTTTTCTAAACAATTGCGGTTTTATTAAATTTTTAAAATATAAAATTGCTGAATGCATTGTGCTAATGGTTGTTAATTAATAACTACTACGTGGAAAATATTTTATACTTTTTTAACTAATAATTTTATTTTTTAGAGATAAAAAACATAATTACTGCAAATTAATTAATTGCTGCTTATCTTAAAAAAAAGCCAGCTTATTTGAAACTCTAATTAAATTAGGTGTGAGAGAAATGGCTGTATTTTATTTGTTCAAAAAGTTATTTTTACATAATTTAAAAAATATCTTTCTAGATTGATTTTTTCTGAAGGTTAATTTTATGTTTAAAAATAACTTGAATAATATATCACAATACGGTGCGTTAATGAAGACGTAAAAAATGGACCAAAGTTACTTGCTATATCTAGTTTAAGTGACTTTAGGCTTAAAATATTGTCTTGCGAGTTATTTTCGATCAGTCCGCTCCTGTTCTAATCCTCTCTTCCTTATTTGGAGCTCTTACGGCATTTAGAAATAACCTTAAAATATAAGAAATAACACATCAGTCAAATAAATTACGAAGGCACCGCTACCTTAGCAAGTTCTGGTTTATGCGAGTTATGTCACCCATATATAGAAGAATATAGAGAAGATACGATTTTGCATAGTTAGCATTTTTAAAGTAGCTGTTTATATAAAAGTAGTGTATGCAGTTAAAAGTTAGTTCCTAGTTAATATTCAAGACATTAAACATCTATAATTATTGTATTTAAGCAAAAGAAGTTTTTAACCCTTTAGCGGGCAGTGGTTGGTATTTAAACCACTTAATTTTTCTGCTTGTACGATTTAGGTCGCAGTCTGAATTTAGACCAGATCTCTGCTAGACACTTACCGGTAACGTTTTCAGGCGAAATATCAACCACAGAACAATTACTTTTAGAATGGAAACTGCAATGTTAAAATTTGAGACAGTTTTGTAACACCCGGTGAGCGTTCTTTGAACTATTTGGCGGAAGTGGCGCCATCTCGCGTTCACTTTAGTTAACACAAAACGCGGGAACATTCAAAATGGTCATTCAATATTTAGTTTAAAAGTTGTAGTCAAATTAAGATTTGTTCATACCAACTCCTTTTTTACGTTTATTGTAGCAATAAAATTATATTTGTTACAATAAAGCAAAAAATGAGTAGTATGAACCAATCCTAACTTGACTACAAGTTGAAATATTTTTACAAAAAATTAAAAAGCATGATCAACAAAATTAATTTATTAAAATAAAAAAACATACAAAATAAAATAAATAAATGTAGCGTGTTAATTAGCTGGAAAGTTAAGTCATTGTCCACAGAGGTTGAAGAGTTTTATCTAGAACAAAAAATAAATATTAATAAACTTATAAATCAAGAAGGGTACAGGAAGAAAAAAGCAGCTAAGCCACATTTTTATCAAAATTGAACTGGTCCGCCCTATTTTGTAAAATACCAGTATTAGCAAATGCAAAACAGTGCATTACTTTCCTACTGTTTGTTTGTCATTTTCAGTATTTAGAATAAAAAATTACAACTGTCTGGTAAATTAAATGGTAAACTACAATATAATCAGGCAACATTTAAACAAAGTAACATCTTTTTGTAATCAATTACCTTTTAAGTATCAAAAGTTTGTATTTAGTCAGTCTAAATTAAATGTGGTTTTCTGAACATTTTGGTAATTGTGACTTGGCCCCTTTTTTTCCTGAACCCTTCAAATCTGTTAGGGAGCACAGAAAGTGAGGCATGAATAAAAAAAGGTATACTGAGCATTACTTCCCGGACTAGGCCATTTTGTCTTCCACAATCCAATATTGCCATTCCAAACGGCTTGAAGAAAGTTTGTACGAGAACAAATAAAAAACAGTAAAAGTAACAATCTGAACTAAATCAATATAAAAATCAAATGTGGGGCATGAATACAAAAAGTACAGTGACTATTACTTCCCTGACTAGGCTGTTTTTGTCTTCAACGATGCAATACTGCCACTCCAAATGGCTTGAAAAAGTTTGTACTAGAACAAATAAAAAATACAGTTAGATCGCTGCGTGCACCAAGAACTTTAAACATATCTTCAAAATGTTTATCACATACTAAATAGTTTTTACAAATTTGTTGTTTTATTATTGAAAAATGGACTGCGAACACCCTATACTCAAATTTGAAATAAATCGTTATGAGGATTTCAGAGTATTTACAAAACAATTTGGCATAAAACAATACGATATATTACAGCTTTTATAACTAAAAATGACCACAAAAATTTAAAATAAGCTTAATCGTCAGCAAGATCAAGTAAACAAATTGAACATTAAAAACACAATTGAACAAGACCAAGTTGACAATACAATAAACAGTAATTTACAAAATACTTACTATTTATTCATCCAGGATCCAGAGCACACCTAAATACAAACAATATGATATTGATAACCACAAAAAATACAGGCAAAATGGCAAATGTCATTCACCACGAGGTAATCGATAATGGATGCCTGACACTGACAAATGACACTCCCACTCTTTCCACCATCAATTGTAGATTTCTGTAAATTGTTGTGTACAGCGCCATCTAGAATCTGTTCTTTGAAACAAAAATATAGTTTCAGTTCGGGCTATACCAGTTACCGATACCTGATATCAACCCGTAATAAAATTTGGCGCGCTATTTAGTGCACAGACCTTTTATATATTGTTTATAGACAGTACACTCAATGTATAATTTTCGTAGCTGATTTCAGCGCCCTCACAGTGGTGGGGGTTTAAACTAAACGATGGCGGCAATTTTTGAATGTCTGAATAATTTTTTGGAAGCACGCTTTGAACGTGGTTATTATGTGTGCCATTAAAGTTGAAATTTGATTACAATAAGCAAACAAATCGTAACTATAATGGTTTAATCATATTTTGGTGCTTTATTTTTTTATGAAATGAAACCATTTATTATATTTATAACGATTTATTTATAAAATGTAAATTTCAGGTATTATTTTAACTAAAACTAAAAATAGCTAAAAATAAGGTAATAAGGTAAATAATAGGTACATGCAATATATTAAGATAAAATAAAAAGGATTCAAGTGTTTTCATTTTTTTAGTTTTATCTGGTTTTTATTATTTCTTATATTATAGATATCTTGTGTTAGCAAGAAGACGTATTTTACCATTAAAATAATGTAACAACCTGGAACACTTACACTTTACAATCATGACTGAAAGTTTATCCATTATCTCAAATGTAATGTGGTCACATTAATCCTTCCTCCATGTGGTATGTGGTCACTGACCGAAACTAATCGCGACACTGCCTATTAAATAAACTTTATGCTGTGGTATTAATTTTGTGCTTTATTTCCATTTCACTATTGACTTTCTGTTTTATTTCCATTTTATTATTTAACAATCAGTTCAAAAACAAACAAATAACTCACAAAATTCATAAAAATAATAAAGAAATAAGAAATATTTGTGGTTATGTAGGTATCAAGTACACAAAGTAGGCAGTTTTGTCACGGTCAAATGGTGATAATTCTCATCACTTACCCCAAACGCCTGAAGTCACCAATAAATGCAATAGTGACGATGAAAATATTTTAAAACATGACTTTTCAGCAATAGTAGATACTACTAAATGAAAAACGGCAAAAATGATATAATCTTGCATTAATAAATTCTAAATCGATTCATAAAAGTTCATAAGTTAATTAGGAATACCCAAAAATCGGGTAAAATTATTGCTATTGGCAACGCTGCACAAGCGTGTCCTATAAACGGTGACAGTGGCGACCTCACGACGGCGGGGGTATGAAACTTAACACGCATTGACCTTGACGGTAAGAGTGGATCAGGGTTGCCAATCGTACGGTAATTACTGTACTTGTACGGTAATTTCAATTAATGTACCATATATGGTCCAAAGTCATTACCGTACATAAAAGTACGGTATTTACATAAAAAGTACGGTATACGTACGGTATTTTCAACAGAATTAGCAAAGACTGAGTTGTGCAAGAAGGACCGACTCCATTAAATTACCTAATAAAGATTAGAATGACATTGTCCAATGTAAAAATGCAGCAGATGTTCTTAAAAACTTCAAAAGGACCTAGTCGGTACAAAAATACAAAAATATAAGCTAATATAAGGCCTTTTTTTAGAAGCTAGGTAAAAGGACCAGACGATGATTAAAATAATATGATGAGGACTTTTTTTTTTATTAGAAACACGACACGAAGAGTTACACAATATAGTTTTTTTTACAAAATAAAAGTGTACGGTACTGGCAGGCCATGTACGGTAATTTGAATTGCGCGGTACGGTAAATGGAATTTGAAAAGTTGGCAACCCTGGAGTGGATACACTGTGATTTAGTGCACGTCCCAGCTTCGTCCCTATAACAAGTGGTCGAATATCTGCCTCTGTACGCATACAGTTAGTTATTATTTGTTTATTTGGTTGTGCATTGAAGTACTGATTTACTGTTTTTTTATTTTAAAAATAAATGTCTATATTCATTATTTTTTTTTTTATTTTGAAAAACTTAACTGGTCGATATTTTGAGTACGATTCGAGCCCAAAGTGTGCCTTCCTGAACGTGCGCTGGTCGAAAAATCGACCACCTTCTACAACTCAAAGTTCAAACTTGTAATTTTTTAAGACAGTAATATACTTAGTTTTACTTATATAACCCACACATATCGTTATTTTTTTGAAAACCTGGCAAAAAATAGTTTTGTGCGTTAAAGGGTTAAAAATCGTTTTCAGATCGAGATTTCATTTTTGGCACAGTCAGTAGGATAATTCGGGATTGAGTCGTATCGAACGGATTGATTTTTCATGTTACCGATTAGCCGAATTACGAACTTTCAATTAAAACAAAAAACTGTTGGCGAATAATTTTACAAACTGTTCGTGTTTAGTTGTGATGGTGGTTTAGAAGACTTCAAGACTTGGGACATCTTCCCCCAACTCTACAAGAAGAGAGCATGGGAGATCCAGTGACATTTTTGGGATTATTAAATAATGATAGTTACTTTTTTATTGTAAGTACAATTTATGGCAGATGTTACTTTTGGCGAATTAGAGAAACGTTT